TGTAATAAAATCATGGGCACCCAAGCTATGTGAAATCTGGCTGTGTTTGACTGGAAGGGTTTAGATGATTTTATTTGCTAATGGTGCTGGGTTCCTGTGCCTTTTGCAGATTCCTGATGCCATGTTTGTTGGAAAGAAAATGCAAAAATAGAATCAATGATGCTTATTCTTGGATGTTTTTCATTGTTGTGATTGGGCTAAATGATTCCATGAATCCAACATGCTAAAATAAAATCAGGGAGCCAACCCCTTTTTATTATATGTCACTGGTTTGGTGGCCAACCTCATTTTCACACTTCTTCCTCAAAATAAATCAGCCTACCCCAACCCCCCTCACTCTTTATCCCACCTCTTCTAGTAATAAAATGGGGCCTCGAAAAAAGGGCTCTAGCCCGCCCTTTTCATTTTCTATCACGGCACGGCTATTACGATTCAGTGGAATTGGAACTCCTCCTGAAGCTCTGGGAGCCTTTGGACTTCCCCCCTGCGGTCCTAAATGCAGTCTATGAAGTGTACTCTGGACCTCGTTTGCTGCAGGCTGAACAGGTCACCTCCAGACCAGTCCACTGCCAGAAAGGCATCTTGGCGGGCTGCCCGGTGGCACCCCTCATTGCCAAATTGGTTCTGGCCCCAGTCATTGGCCCTTTCATGGAGGCTTTTCCCAGGGCAACTGTTGATGTGTGGGTGGACGACATTTCAGTCGACTTTGTTGGCACTGATGTTCAGCTACTGTGCAGAGAAGCCCTCAATGGCTACGAGCATCTACGACAAGGCCTAGAAGACACTGGCCTGCAGCTTTCCAGTAGCAAGACTGGATATCTCACGTCCTCAGTTGAGTGCAAGAAAACCCTGAACCTTTTTCGCAATGATGCACAGCCTCGTGTCCACGACCTCTTGAAGGATCTTGGTTTGGATTCCAGTAACAGAAACGGCTCCTGAAAGGAAGAGGCAGGCACTCCAAGCTCCTTCATTTGAAGCTCCGTTCAAGGCCAGTTCGGATTCGGGTTTGGAAAACTTCTGTGCATGCTGCAGCTGGCTATGGTCTGGAAGCACAGGGGCTCGCACCACAAAGGATGAGGACGCTGCGGCAGCAATTGGCTCGGCATGGAGGGCTACAGAAAGGTGGCAGTGTTGACATTGTGTATGACCAACACAGTAAGCTGCAAGATCCCAAGGGCACCATCGTTGAGCGGCAACTCCTGGTCCCAGCATGGCCACCAGGCCACCTAGGAGATCTGAAGACTGCATGGCCCATCTCCTGGAAGCGGCTGACTACTGCGGCCTATCCTTGGATGGTAGTGGCAGGACCAATGGTGGCTTTGCAGGCCTACCTCATCGACATTGGATGGGAGGCAGCTGACATGGATGACTGGATTCGAGCACCACTGGGCAACTGGCCAACCTACCAGCTCAACTTGGAGTTCCCTTGGCCGTATCTTCAGCGGCAACTGCACTTGGAGATACAAAGGGCCAGGAGAATTCAGGAACTGGAGCACTATTTCCCTATGATGAGGAAGCCTGACTGGACGGTTTTCCACCTGATGATGAAACAGTTGAAAGGAGCAGCCAGATCGGAGTTGCGGCCTGGACCAAGGATCCCTGAGAGCGCACGGAGGTGGAGAGAGAGCCATCTGTCCTTTGTGTGGGGTACCTGTCACCATAAAGCACCTCATTTGGGAGTGTTCCTACCATGAACATCCTCTACCGGTGAATGGCAGCAGCTTATTCAGGCCAATGAGCATGCCATGCTTTGGGCACGAGGACTCATTGAGGAGCCGGATTACGGGCCTCTGGTTGGCCTGGACTCTCTGGAAGTACATGGGGTCTATGCTCATGGATGGCCTGTTCGTTTGCCACCCAACCATCGGCTGGCCATAGGAGTGCATGCCACTTGCAAGGATGGCAGACTGAAAAGGTATGCAGTGGCCCTCACGGCTGGCACCTGGCAAGAAGGTTCTTGGCAGATCTCAGGAGTCTGCACGCGCCTGGCGCCTGGAGCTGCCACAGAGGCAAGGGCATGGTTCTTTGGTTGCTGGCTCCTCCTTCAGTCAATTTGGGGCGCCATCAAGTCAACCTGGCATACCGTCCTGGATGGGCAGCTGTCAACAAAGGGGCAAGTGGCACAACAGCACCGGATCTGTGGCACAGCTTGGCAGAGGGCGAATGGGCCAGACTCACTGTGTTGCACGTGCCTCCGAAGCTGCTCAAGAAATCTGGTGCGGATCAGCGTGCATGGCTCCAGTTTCAAGAAGCCCGGCAGTGTGCTCACACAAGGGCCAGCAGAGACGCTCCTGTCGAGCTTGCAGAGCAATTGCATAAAGAGGATCTTTGGCACCGTGAGGTCTATGCCACGGCAGCTTGGGGCATTAGTGCCATCCTCACTGATCCGGATCACTATATGAAGGACAAGATTCACCCCTGTCGAGACGGCTTACCAGGTGTCCCAGAACAAGCCGAAAGGTAGATCAGAAGTCCTGAGGCAGATGGTCCACAGCCCCAAAGGTCCTGGTGAGCATTCATGGCAACTGAAAGGGCATGGCATCCAGTGCAGCCATTGTGGCCTACATGCTGCTCCACTCACGCTGAGATAGCGGCCAAGCAGGCCACTACGTGTCCTGGTGAGAGGACCAAGACACTCAACGTGATCATGGAAGAGATGATTGAGGCCTCCGAGCAGCTGCCAGACACGCAGGAGGGGCACAGGTTCTACTGTAAGTCCAGTTCCTTTGGGCGCAAGCGTTGCTGGTTGAAAGTGGCTAGACGATGTAGCAAAGAAGTGCTCAGCAAGATGGCAGCCACCAAGTGTGAATATGGCCCGGTTGGTGAGCAGACCTGAATCTTCGTATGCGTGTACACCCCCAACATCAGTTGGTGAAGCGGCAGCAGTGGCTTGAATGCCAAAAGTGCCTCAAGATCACGAAGATTCATGAAGGACGGGTCCAAGCTTGGGTGGCGAGTGAATGTCAAGGAGTCAGCACTCAGCGAAAGCTCAACTTTGCTCCGACGAGTTCAAGCAGCTGACGCAGCTGACACCATGCGGCATTGGATGCCTGGATGCATTTGCAAAGGGATTAGGATTCCCTGTTCAGACCTGCAAGGCGAAGGATCCTTGGGTCTTGCCATTTTTGGCCTGAGGCCATGGCGGAGGTGGACCTCCTCGCTAGACAGAAGCAAAAGAACCGAGCAAAAAAAAAAAGAGAGAGAGAGAGAGGCGGCAGGACAGACAGATACCGAGTACACATACCCACATAGGCCGGCGCCCGTCTAAATCCGGGCGCCGGCGCACGTGGCATGCCCGGAGGGCCTTCAGTGGTAACCGAAGGTTATAGACGCTGGCCCTGGCTGCCGCCGACCCTCGTCACGAAAAACGGGGGGACCCCGTCGTCACTTCCTCCCCACCTCCAGGTCACTGATGCCCCTGTAACTTACAGTGTATCGTGTGTGTGAGGTATAAAAAACACTATGTCTTACAGGGTTTTGGGCCCCTCGGCGGCCGAGAATTTCATCTTGGCGATGTCAAAAAGCGTAGGTTTTTCCAGTGTTCTTGCTTTGCGGGAAAGAAAAAATCGTAAAAAGTTGTATCGGAAGATTTTTCAACATAAACTGCCTAACATATCACCAACGTAGGCCCAAGATAGCCAACATATCCCCAACATATGCCCAACATAGCCTCCAAGATGGCTCAACATAGGGCCAACATAAGCCAACATGGGGCCAACATACGCCAACTTAGCCCAACATAGGCCAACATAGGCCTAACATAGGCCAACATAGGCCTAACATAGGCTCAACATGGGCCCAAGATGTGCCCAACATAGACCACATGGGCTCAACTTGGCCCAACCTAGGGTCAAGATGCGCACCAGATAGCTTAACTTTGCTCAATATAGGCCCCACCAAGGCCAACATAGGCGTGACAAAGGCCCCACAGACCCAAGTGGGCCGGCGCCCGGCTGTTAGGCGTAAGCCTTTAAATATAAATTACTGTAATTATGCAACAGCATTGTTTGAGACCATGAGCAGCTTGCTCTGCAGTCATGTGCATCTTGCCTTTGATTCTATTTGTCAGGAACGGGTCTGTCAACCTGCCTACCTACAACACAACTGCTGTAACGTTATCATGGATAGCCGGGTCTACCGTTGACCCCGGCCCGGCCCGAGGCCCGGCCCGGCCCGGCCCGTGCGAACTCCCTTCCCCGGCACAGCCGTCAGGAGGCCAGCTGACGCAGTGGGCAAAGGAAGAATCTATGCATCAAGATGTATCCACAAACATGTTAGAGGAGGGATCGGCAAAGTGTTTTTAGTCTGTGCGAATAAACCCCCTTCTACTGTTGTCGGTCTACGGAGCTCTATTGGGGGTTTTGTTTTGATTAAACCCCTTTTTGGTCGATTGATATGCATACCCTTGGGTTTGGGGTTTGGATCATGATGTAAACCCTTTGTGATCGAGTGAGGGCCCTTACTCGACCAAAAAGGGTTTAATCAAAACTAAACCCCAAGTACAGCTCCGTAGACCGACAATATTAGAAAAGGGTTTATTCGCACAGAGTAAATAACCAGCCGATCCATCCTCTATAAAGTGTTTGTGGGTATCTTGATGCATAGATTCTTCCTTTGCCCACTGCGTCAGGTGGTCTCCTTACGCCACGCCGGGGACGTGGATTTGAGGTGTGGTTTGGTGGATTCCACAAAGGACCTATAGAAATGGAAGGACCGCAGTGGACCGGCCCGGACCGCCCGGACCGACCCGCAGTGGCCCGGCCCGCGGTGGCCCGGCCCGCGGTGGCCCGGCCCGCCCGGACCGGCCCGGACTATCCATGGAGTTATTAATTGCCACCCATCGTTAAACACAACCGTGGACTACTACTTGCATTCAAACGGCTCTTACAAAAGGAATCAGCCACTAAAACTCTGGACAAACCATTGGAGAAACTCAAGACAAATGACTTGTCAACGACTCGTCATATCCCTGACCTTCACAACCCATGCAAGAAAGCGGCGAAAGGTGCAATCAGCTGTCTCTGCCAGTGCCTTTTCTTCAAATCGCCTGAGCACCTTTTCAGCCCGACGATCTTGCTGTTGCCGAATGCTTTCCTCGCTGCCAAGGACAATGCCCAAAGGGATTGCTTGACTCAGCAACCTCCATGCCAAAAAAACATCGGTAGTTTGTAGAAACAGTGCTCGATCGTGCAAGAACCTGCCGAGTTTACACATTCTAGCAATCTCAACTGTACTGGCAGCAAAGCAGCCATGATGTCCGCCTTAGGTAGCTTGGCACAATTTTGCTTCTAAACCCACTCTAGCAAATGAGTTTTCCTACCAAAGCACAAGCAGCCATGGCACTGGCTTCCGGTAATGTGCCTTCACATGAGCGAAGCGCTTCAGACTGACAGGGTCCAGCTGCGGGCGAAAGGAGCTGCGATTTGAGCTGCACCTCAGCTTGTTGGCAACTTGGACGCCAGTCTGTTCCAACCACTATGGGAGGTTGAACATGGGTAACTTGTAATGCCGGCTATAACCAAAAGCCTTCTCCCGATCTATGCATCCACAGATCATCCCAAATCTAGACCGAACCGCGTGTTGAACCTTCATCAAAGGTTGGAGGAAGTTGGAGGCACGGCTGGGAGTGGATGTATAAAACACATGAAAATTACACATTCGCTGAAATGGTGATTCATTCTTCAAGGGTAGCCGGAAGCTCGAACGGATTCATCGATGTCAAGACTCTCAGGAGATGCAGGTTCTTTCGCGCGCGTCTTGGCCTCGACATAGAGCCTTTCATGCACTCCTGGCTGGTGCTCTGGACGGGATGGAGTTTTAGTGAACAAATGTGAACAATAGGGAGAACGTGCCCATGTCCCATTTGTAGGAGTTTCCTGGCCTGAAGGGGACGACGCCCGTCGAGCTGAAGCAATCCTTGCTCGCAATGACAGAACCAATCTCCAGCGTTTCGTTCTCTGGTAGCTGCTCAAGGTGCGATGGGTTCGATATGTTTAATGCGAATGCCTCCAACCTAGAAGCGATGGCCTCCGATGGCCTCCACCCTACTACTGTAGCGATGGCCCCCACCCTAGTAGCGATGGCTCCCACCGTAGTGCAAGACTTTGCCAATACCTGCTGTGATTAATCTACTCCTATGGGCGGCAGGAGGCCGTGTGTGGCTGACGGATTTGAGCAAGTGGTTGCACCAAGGATCGCGCTCCTTTGCTAACCAAGTTGCGCTTCAGTATGTGGGCTTAAGGCAGGTTTGAAGGTGCACGCCCTGCAGAAACAAGAGACAATATTTTGGACTCGACATCAAAGAGATCATATGCCTGTTTAGAACCTGGGCTGAAAGTTCTTGGTGAAGAATGGGCCAGCGATCTTCTGGCCTTCTTTTCGCACAAAACTATAAATATATGGGTAGACTTGGATAGGCTTGGCTACATGTTTCTCAACGTTTATCAATCAAACATCGAGAAGCTTGCCCGATCCACAGTACTGGTAATGGATAATTAGTGTGCCTGATGACGCTGCCACCAGATTTGTAGCACCGGCAAATGGGACCCTCCTAGCCTGTCAAGGTGCTGCTGGACCTCTTGCTGTCTAAGTTGTCTTCGATTGACATCTGTCACAGCAAGTCGTTCAATCCGTTCTTCAGGTGTTTCACCAATCCTCAGCTGCGTCCCGCTAGGGTGGCCCGCTGACCATTCAAAGTCACTGGAGCAATAGCTGCCCTCGACTTGCACATACTTGTGTTTCATGATGTACCAATCTTCGTGCAGCTCGAGTGTCAGCTGGACGTTGCATGCTGTGATTTGTTCACTAACGTCGCTAATTTTCGGCCTCAAAGCATTCCATGGTCTTCTGCAATTGATCATCTTTGGAGACTTCAACGTCTGGGTTGCTGCAAGACTACATCATGGTACGCTGTGGCTGCCACATACTTGAAGTGGTGAAGCTTTGAAAACACTGACTTCACTTGCCTCGCACTTAGGGCTCTGACTTGAAAGGGCACTCTGCGGAAGCATGCCGCTGTCGCACGTCCTTCCGAAACTTCCTCTCTTGCTCGAACTTCGCTTGACGTACAAGAAAGTCCTCAGAAGCTCGTGAAGGCAGCAAAGTACTCAATCAGGGCACTGGGAATAGACTGGAATAAAGTCCACCGAATGAACAACATCACTAATGCGCACCTGGGATTAATTAGCCTCCCCTTATGAATCAAGCCCAGCTTGAGCCCCCAATACTAAACAAATTTAGAACCTTGATTCCACATTTCCATTACCCTAAAAAAAATCTTGGCAGAAACCTCCCCTCTGCTAATCAACCCCATCGGTGCCCCCCCCAAAATAGTTCATTAATATATTCATGTATATTAATTCAATATTGTTTACAGCTGCAATCTAAGCAGCCAATGTTCTCCCAAGCAATCTGTGTTCACAATCCCTAAAAACACTCCAGCCAAATTTTTTCGTTTTCCCTTAGTAAATCTCTATCAACATCTTAAGGTTTTCAAGCTCACAAAAGGTACCCCTCACAAAGGCCTCATGGTTCACACTATCAACCATCATCCATCATCAGGTCATCACCTTTATTAAGGGATGTGGTCTCCAGTACCTCCAATCTCAAACTTGACCTTGAAGTAGGGGGGTTGATTAATGCTACATCAACATTACTACTGTAGTGATGGCATACCTCTGAGTAGATCCTGCGTTCGCCTCTTGCAAGGGTATGGCATCGCAACAACCCTGGAACCTCCACCGATTTAGCGCTCAAAGCAGTCCTGGCACTGAGATGTGGCCTTCGGTGAAGCTTGCGAAGGATTTAGCAGTGTCCTGTGAGTTGATGCAACAGGATAAGGCGCATCCGACAACCGCGTCAGGCTGCTTCAGCATACACGCATGCTGGCAAACAATTTGTGACGCGACTCCTCTGGGAGCTGTCGCAGGCGCAGCGAGGATCACTCTTCACTTGTGTGGCCTGCAATCGGGGGTCTTGCAAGCAACAGCCATTTCTTATTCATCGGCGTGGTCTCCTGATCCCGCCCCGCCTCTGCACTTTGCCGCTGGTAACAGCCGTCATGGCTTCTTGCCCTGGCGGATTGCGGCAAAAATTGACAGGCTGCGAACGCTCCGGGGCTTGGCCCAAATCGAAGTGGTGCCCATTGCAATAACTTGACACCTGGCCCCCCAAAAACAGAATCAAGGTGAATGAAGCACGTTATGGCTACCACCCTCTCCGACCAAATGCATACATTGCGAAGAGTGTTAGGCCTGCAATTGCCATTGCGTTGCTGAGCCAGCTGCTGGCTTCTGGCCGAAATCTTGGGCTTAAAAGAGCGCCCTTGCCTCAGGTCAGAATACATACATTGTCACGTGACGCTGTTCTGCTTTATAACTGGATCAGCCACTGACCAGCCGGGGTTCTGGGTTGGAAGCAAATGAGTGGTCAGTTGTTGAGTTGTTGTAGGCTGCGGCACTAGGCCAGAATTACATTTTCAATTTGCCACAGTACTTTGATCGCTTTGCCTGTGCGTATGCAGTGGCACCAGTCGACAGTAAAAAGCGATTTTGAGTCCCTATTGTTCCCTGCTCAGTTCATTTGGTGACTCTGGTACTTCATGCATCTGCGGTGCTTGAGGTTAGCTTCCTGAAGGGCTCTGACCCGGTCCTGGCTATGAAGCTCCATTTCAATGCCATGAATTGCGAGGATTCGGTCAACAAGCGAGGCCTCCTGCAGCAAGCCTTTTCCAATTTGTGTTTTGCTCAGCTTTGCCCCGCTTATGGCAACACGATGCAACACGACTTAATTATATGTCTTCAGTCCATTTCTTCAGTCCTGCTTCCATTGCTGGATAGCTTTCGTCCTCAAATGCAGGGGCACTCCGCCATTGTCAGAGCTCCGGTTGATTCGGGGCGTGAAGGTGCACTCATAGAGGTCCTCAGTGAGCTGAACAATGCCAGGAGACAAATTGAGTGAGCATTCCTATACCCGTAATCAATTCTGCACAGTTTTGGGCCAGGAGCATCAGCTTGAAGGAGTTCTTTGGCCTGCTCAGGATCATTTCATTGATGCATTCAATATCATTCCTTTGCTCATTCTTGCGCTGTAAGGACTCATAAGGGAGTGTGCATGAAAAAGCCAATCGTCAATCTGCGCTTTTGTGGAGCATGGCGTCTCCTTTTCTGCATTCCGCGCAGGAGGTGCAAAGGAAAAACCTGCCTGATCTCTCAGAGCAGTCCTGAAGCACGCGGTGCAGGACCAAGCGAGTGAAGGTCTTTGGGAGGAGTGGTGGTCACAATTCCTAAGCCAACCTCACTCTAAGCCCTAAAAGCATGTCGTGCGGAGCTACCAGTAGGTGCTAAATAAAATTAAATAAACAAGCTATTTCAGTGAGTTGTTCTTTGTTTGATTTTGGTTGCATTGCCAACCTTTTTGGAGAGCTCCCAACCTGCAATAAACATCTAGATGCAGACAGCGTGACAACAAAAGCCTTTAGCCTGCATGCGTCGTCAGGAGGCACCATCCATTCAGCCAGCCACATCCACTAGCCAATCAATCATTTTGTCAGCTTGTGATGACTGTCGTTCTATTTCCAGCATGCAAGGCATGCAAACTTGAAAAACAAAAATATATGGTGGTTGATCAATATTCTTTCATCCTGGAATGGCCATTCTTCGCGGAAAAAAGATATCTTTCGCGGATCTTTCGCGGCCTCATCGCGAAGCATGGTCCTACAACCATGTCTAGCTAACATGAGCCGGAACATGTCATAGGGACAGACATCTTGCAGCATGACCAGTTGAATGTTTCCACAGCTACTCAGGGTCACTTGCAGCATCTGTGGCGCAACTCAACCTTGGGGAATGTTGGGGGGCCTCAAGCTGGGGACCTGGACTTTAGCGGCACATTCGCGAAACTTTCGCGGATCTTTCGCGAAATTTCACTGGCGCTTTCCCGGGGAAGCCGTATGCAAACATCTGCACAGCCCGTCAGAGCAGCTGTAGGTCGTTGCCTCACTGTCGGGGCTGCGCCTACTCAGGTTGCTTGTCTATGACAGTGGGGACAGGAATCGGAGAATCCTTTACGCACTGCCAGGGCTGGGCACGGAAAATTTGAGGCTTCAATTCGTTAGTCTGTGACATATGGGGACACTTCCGCCCACCAGCTCTGCCGGAAGATTGCCTTCTATTTCTATTCTTTGTCAGTCCCTTAGAAAGGAAAACGTATGAAAGCGATGACCGTCGATAAATCTTTCGCGGAAAAAAAAAGATACTTTCGCGAACCTCATCGCGAATCTTTCGCGGATGGTTCTAACAACATCTGAAAGGCTGTTTTATATAAAACTCCTTACACGGGGTTTTCGATCAACTCCCATATACATTTTTACACAAACATACAACCCATGTGGCTACACACCGAATCTTTTCCAACATCTCTACAATCCAAAGTTCCGTGTATTCCCCAACGTTCCGGACCTCGTGCCTTCGTCTCGCATCGTTGGGTCCAAGCCTTTCCGGCAAGGCCTCTGCATAGCATCCTCGTGCACGTTGGGCGAAGACCTCCGACCTCCAAGCTCGGACAAAGAGACCGCACAAGCTGAATGCAGCTCGAGAATGAGGTCCTTGCCATTTGCTTGAGCTGGCCAAGGTCCGGACTTGTTGTTAATCACCGGTTGGAATGTGCACTGTCTTGCAAGCTCCTCCTCCTGACAGCCACTCCAAATCACTCCCTTCAGCTTGTGTGTTCTCTGTCGGTCCAGCTCCCCCTGCTCCAGCAACGACCGTGTCGAAATTAATTTGCTGATAGGATCGGGATGGTATGGATCTACATCTCCAAGATTGAGACTCCTTAGGGCTCCCAGACTTGCACAACTCCCAAAAGACTTGCAGAAGCTCTCCCACTCCCACGATGTGCTGGAAACTTGGATTGCCTTGCCCGTTGAGAGACAGGAGTGCATCAAGAAACAATCTGCACGCGTCCTGCAAGTTTGCCCACTCTTCAGGACTATTTGGAGAGGACGTGTAAAAAAGGCCAACGAAAAGCTCTTAACCTGTAAGCACCCCATAGCATCAACCCTGGAAATCCTAGATGATGTAGATCAATGTACCATCGCGACCGCACTATTGCAAGGGCAAACCAAAGCTGGAGGAGGAGGTAGAGGGGAAGGCCATCACCTGCAATAATTAGATAATTGTATGGATGCAATGAACACCAACTTTTGCAGTTGATACAGCCGATGGAGGCATGATCATCATGCCTCAAGTCCTGGGGTATTAGCGGGCCGGGAAGAAACAGTGAACTTGGACTTGCTCTGACTCGTTCTGACGCGTTGCACACGCCCTTCATCATTGCTTCCCTCCGTCCCTCCGTCCTGTCAATTGCCCTTTTGTCTCTTTGTTGAATTAATTCTGTGTACCCGCTGTTCAGCCATTGCTCCTGCTCTTGTCGCCGGACGTGACGCTTCAGCTGGTACTGCTGCGAGGAGCTCTCGAGTCGAGCGTGGAAGCCTCAAGCATGGAAAACAGCCCTGGTACAGTCTTCTTCTGCTCCCCATGACCACCTAGAATGCAACCTTGAGAATTCTTTAGAATATGTGTTTGATGCACACGGCCCTGGCGCATCCCTCATCTCATCCCACATGTCTTTCAAGGTGCTTCGAGAGGATGCTGATCGATGGCCATCTGAGCAAAAGGCGTGCAACCATTGAATGATTATAAGTAGCCATGTCCCAGCTGAAACACAAAACGAAAAAGGCTATTCACATCTTTGAGTCTCACTGGGATCTAGGGTCTAGTGTCTACAGTCGGTGCATCGACACAGGGAAACCGATGCGAATCAGCTCATGTGGCCAGGTTGGACCAAACTTCACTGGCGTAATCAAGTTGCTTAATTTTTTGAAAGTGGCACCAGCCAAGTGCTGTTGGCTACGTAGGCAAAGTGAAGGGTAGGAAAGATGGGTGACCAATCATTCAGCACAATCTCACTCCCCATACACCAGTTCTGTCCTTCACGTCTGTGCAAAGGAACAGGGAGGTCCTTTGGTGCAATGCGTTTCTTCAGATCAGTATTTAAACTGGTAGCAAGGAACGTCTTTTCAATGTCTTTCTGGACGCTACACTTTGATCTTAGCCAACAACAGCTCAAAGCTGAGACTCATATGATCATATGATCTTTTTTACAATGAACACCCCGACGCAGGGCTGCGAAAGACTGAGGAAACATTCTGCTCATCATCCTCCAATCTGTGCCCACAATGGCGGCAAAAGGAGCAGGTTGGTGCGACATCTCCACCACAACGTCGGCAAACCTGCACACAAGTGGTATCCTTGAGCATCGATCGATGGTGAGGGGCCTCTGGATGTTCACCGCTGTACTTCTTAAAATCCTTGTCTCCAAACTCGTGCTTTGGCCCGGTATATAAGAAAAATGGGCGTTCTCAAGGTACATACTACGTGCACATTCATTTGGCCACTAGCACCTAATTGCGCCCCGAGGAACATACGATCAATTGTCTTCCAGGGTTCAGAAAAATGGCCATGTGAACACTTACGTCGCCGCAGTGCAAATCTCGCACTTGAAGCTGTTATTGTTACAGCATATTGATGCAAGAGGGCCCACGACGCTGATCCGTGGCAGGGGCGTGCCTCCGGATCAGCTTCCAAACACTGTGGCTCCCACAAACCTTAGCTTGCCGAAGAGCACGATGCGGCACTGCTTTCGATATCCTGATCAATTTTATACTCACCAGAGCTAGTATCGGCCCGACGGCCTCCAGCTGGCGGAACTGTGTCAGCTAACGGTCGGGGGTGGGCTTTCGTTGATCGGTTTAGCCTCATTGCAATGGCTGGTTGCCTGAACTTTGGTTTGAATGATGTCGGGAAGTCCTTCACAGGCATCTTGGCTCCGCGTGTGGTGTGTGGAGTGGGACGTGAGGTGGATGGTTCAGGGGTGATTGAGCTTTCACAAGGTTCTTGTGGACGTGCCATCCTACTCCAGATTGCTACGAGAAGGTCATTTCTTTGTGTGCTGGCATGGGAGGTGCGATCATTGGCTCACACTGGACCGACTTCTCCACACCTGCTGCTGTGGATCATGGACGCTTGGCTTGCGATACCCTAGTTCGGAACTTTGCTTTCCCTGTTCTGCATGCAAAAGATTGGAACCAACGACACGGCGTTCCATCTTTTTGAGCTTACTGGTGGTATGCCAACATGGCTTGAAGCAGCGTTCCATCTTTTTGAGCTTACTGGTGGTATGCCAACATGGCTTGAAGCAGGATTCCTATTCCAACCTTTCAGTAGGTTGGGTGATGGTGGAGGAACTGGTGATTCTCGAGCAGGCACACTCAATGACATCTTGTGCCTTGGACAGAAGTTGGGCTCCTTAGGCTTTATGTTGAAGTTTGTTAGAGGGGCAGGGACGAATTAAGGGGTTCGTTTAATCCTCCGTGATGCATGCAATCGGTTCGGACTTAAGTTGATAGATGAGGTATTATGCCTAGTCTGTTGCGGTGTGAACACCGGATCGAATACCGAAGGCACTTTTGCTTAGGAGAAAAAGAAGCACGAGGTCCGTGTTTTCGAGGGTTATGAGCCCAACTCGTTGCCCGCCATGGACCGGTCGCAATCTCTGCCACCACTGAAGCCCCGGTGGTCAGAGAAGATCCGCAGGGAGGCGATCTTGCAGCACCATAGGCCGCAGGACCTTCCAGTGCCACATGACGGAGATGATGGCGAGTTGGACGAGGTCACACATGGTGAAGGTGTGGCTGGAACTGGGAAGGGTCGAAGACTTTTGACCCAAGGGGGACGGTTGTTTGTCACCCCTCCTAGCCGACGAACGCCAGAAGGTCGAGGTGGTGGCCCTGGACGGAAGACTGCGGGGACTATGGATGAGGGGAGCAACACTAAGCCTTCCCCACCTGCTGCGGAACGCACAATGGGTCCCATGCCACCTGACCCTGAAGTGGAACCGAAGAAACGGGATGAGACGCAAGGAAACCTGCAAAGAGCCCTAGAGGCGGAGATGGTTGTTTTCCTCCGGGAGCAAAATGCTCAACTCAAGGAGGAGCTGGCTCGTTTGAAGAAGGGCACACCAGACGGGTCGTCCTCAGTCCCTTCCTCATGGGAGCACGTTGAAAGCTCGGGCTGTGGGAAAGGCCAACCAGGTGAGGACGGGCTCGATGGTGTTCGTGTCGGTGGTGATCGCTTGAGCGCTGGGAATCGTTTGTATGTTGAGCATGCAAGGGGAACCACCTTTGACTCCAAAGGGACGCAGTCCGACATCCCGGAAGGTGCCTGGTGAGGTTGGTGCAACACGGTTCACTCCCAATGGAACCCAAGTCCCACCTGGAAGTCCTCCTCGTCGTCTTCCGGATGCGCCGATGCCACCTTTTCCTAGCGCCTCGGCTGATCTTAGCACCTTTCTTCAAGCCTATGAAACGGCTGATGCTCGCCACCGATTACATGGCGATGTTCATTGGGTGCCGCTCGGCATGAGAGAAGGAAAATCGTTCGAGCCGCGATCAACTCGTGCAACTCGGCTTGAAAGTGAAGATCGAGCCGCTCGGCTGGAAAGAGAGGTTCAAGTGTTGAGGGCATCAATGGAGCGCCTGCAAGATGCTTCTTTCGCTCCGGGGGCTCCTGCTTCATGTTCAAAGGACGTGCCGCTGCCTCCATCTGGTTTGGACATCATCGCCAGAAAGGGGCATGTTGGTTTGCAGGGCCATGATCTCCGAGATCTTTTTGGTGACCATGGAGGGGTTCCTGGTGTAGACCATGGGGGTGCTGGGGTATGTCATGGTAATCCTGGTCGAGTATGCCCTCCGGACCAATGGAATTCAGGTGTTCGCGCTACCTCACCACAGGGTCTCCCGCACTGCAACCATGAGTACAACGGCGACATGGGCTATGGTCGCTGGCGGGGGGACACTGGACCAGCTGCCGTTCCTCTCCCATGGAATGAGGGATCTGGTGGCAGCAAAGCAGAGCTAGCGGAACTTTCCGCTGACGCCTCACCGCTGGAGTTGGGGGATTGGCTCGCAGTTTGTGGCCCGGTTCTCAGGGACATTTCAGCGGTGTCGGGCAGGTGGTGGCATTTGATCCTGACGGAAGCTCAATGCTACTATGATCGCTGGAAGACGGCTTCACCTTTGGAGAGGGTGCAAATTACTCCTCGCCTTCCGGACGAGCTCATGGATGCTCGCTACCACCGCACGGAGCAGCGGGGCGTGAACCTTCTGCTCAAGGCCATTCCGGTGGATCAGCAGCAGTCCTTGATCACCGATCGTGAACTCACGCCCACGGCCTTGTTGTACCGGCTGTTGGTACGATTCCAGCCTGGAGGTGCTGGAGAGAAGGCCATTTTGCTGGCAAAGTTGACTGCCTTGGACAAGGCCAGTGGCATCGCTGAATGGGCAGCTGCTCTTCGCTCTTGGCGGAGACATTTCGCACGGGCTCGCGAGATTCGGGCTATCCTTCCGGATGGCACGCTGTTGTTGAAAGCTTTGGAGCCTGCGGTGATTCACATTTCATCGCTGGATGCTCAAGCAGCTTTTTAAAGTCGCCTTCAACTTGGAGTTGATCAGCAGCCTCATCATGACGGTGTTTGGAGGTTGAGTCAGTGAGTGTTGGCGGAAGCAGAGACATTGTCCCTCATGTCCTCTACTCCAACACCATCCACCACGACCATCAAGGTCAAGCAGCTCGAGTCAACGAACAAGACTGGAGTTCCTCCTGGCACCAAGTTAGACAAGGGCAAAGGCAGTTCTACATCGATGTCCACTACACCGTGCCGGTATTTCAGGTCGGATGCAGGTTGCAAAGCTGGTCGCAATTGCAAATGGTCCCACTCCTGGGAAGGGATTGATGACAAAGCTGCACGATGCTGGATTTGCGGTGGCAAAGATCACAGAAAAACTGAGTGCAAGCTGAAGTCCCAGACCAAGAAGGATGGCAAGGGCAATGGTGAGCCTTCTCCAGGCTCAGGGGGAGGAAATGCGGCTGCGACCAAATCCAATGCAGCCAATGCCACTGCTGGTTCAAAGGGCGCTTCAACTGGTGCTGGTGGTGGGGGGGAGTTCGCAGCCAACTTCGGTCGTCAAGCTACAAGAAATGGAGCTGGGTCCAACCAACCAAAGCACTGGTGGAGAAGTCCCGCCTGTTGAAGCAGCATCCAAAGGAGGTGAAACTGGTGCCACGTCAAGTGAAGCACTCACTTCGTGCCCCTATGATTCGTGTCATCAAGGTGAGCCAGCTGGAGCATGATCCAAGCGGTGCTTTGGTCCTACTGGACTCTGGAGCGACTCACGCCCTTCGGCCGGCACTATGTTGGGACGAAAGGTGTTGCTCTCGGCTCCTGACGATCGAGAATCCGGTCAGTCCTGGGTCCTGGATTGTTCCACTTGGTGGCATTGCGGAGCTTGGGTACAAGTTTGAATGGAAGGGAGCTCAGTGCAGTCTCCGTGATGAGCGTGGCCGGACATTGGAGGTGGTGGTCCAACATGGATGCCCTATGGTCCATCGAGATCTTGGCCAAGAGATGATCGATCGCCTTGAGACACGACAAGTCAACCTCCTCAACAAGGCGATCTTGGTGAAAACTCTGATGGAAAGTCCCCAAGGCAGTGAAATGAAGGCCATGTGTGACTCGCCCGAATTGGCTTTGACGGTCAAGCTGAAGTCATTGTTCCCGGACCTGCCGGACGAAATCCTGATGCGGGTGGTTCCTGATATGTCCCAGCTGCACACGGGCTTTGATGGTCATCGCTTACCATGGAACAGGCGCAGACGGCGCTGTCTGGAGCGTGCTAAGAAGCTGGTGCTCCACGTGTTCTCTGGCCCAGACTCCAAGTACTGGGAGAAGGTCCTGAATCAAAATGACATGGAAGTGTTGTGCATTGATCTTCAAGCGGACGTTCCCGCGGACTTCCATGACGACCAGACCTACACGTACCTTCTTGCTCTGGCAGCTTCCGGTCGTGTCAAGGCCATAGTGGGTGGCCCACCTTGCCGCACTGTGTCGGCTTTGCGGTATCAAGATGATGGTGGTCCTGGAGTGCTCAGGACGGAAGAACATCCGTATGGCCTTCCTTCTTTGTCATCGGCGGACTTGGAGCTGGTGCGCAATGACAGCGTGCTGCTGTTTCGTATGCTGGCCCTCTATGTGTTGCGTGAGGATGTTCGTCTTCCGGTTGAACCTCAAACAGCTCTAGCAATCGAGCAACCCGAAGATCCTGCTCGCTATCGCCCTGAAGAGGAGGTGGAAGCCAAGGGCTTCATGTCAATTTGGCGTACCAAGGAGTGGGAAGCCTTTGCAACCAAATATCAAGTGCGGTTGCTACATTTTGATCAAGGACCAATGGGTCACATCAAAAGAAAACCCACAACGCTGGCTGTGGTGCTCAAAGAACTCCACGTTCTGAATGAAGTGCGAGGTCCTCCGAGCGGTGTTTCTGAAGCTCAACATCCTGATCGTCGTGATATGACGATGCAACAACGATGTGAGGACTCCAAACAGTGGGCCGCATGGGCCCCAGGCCTGAAGGTCGCCATCGTTTTGGCCTTGCAGGGGTGGTTGAATCAGGGCTCAACTCCATCGCTGGAAGCGGCTCTTCGCCCTCTGACCTGCGGCATTGGACAGTTGGAAGCAGCACTACCTGAACGATCACATGCCTGCTCGCCG